CGAAGCCCGCATTGAGAGTTCTCAGAGTAGTGCCGTTGCTCAGGGTAATCAATTATCGGACATGCCAGGTGACCTGTTTGTTCTGCGCTTGCATATTGACGTGCTTATCCAAGTACTTGTCCATACATGTTGTGTTCCTGTGCTTGTCTTGCTGCTACACCTCATGTTGCGAAACCATTGAACATTTATCTAGATTTATGATAGCATCGGTCTTAGCGTGGGCCATGCATGCTGTGCAAACAGCACGGGTACTTTCCAAGAGCGATGGCTGCTAGTGGCGGTGGCAACAACAGCAACCGCTGTTGTTAATATCTCTGAAGCTCTTGCCCGGAACAATTAAGCAAGCACGGGTGGCGACAGTAATTAGCCCAAAGCAACATCGTTCCAAAGGAGACGTTACGAGCAGCGAAATATGCTCTTGAAAATTCGCAGTAATGGCCAACGCTCATCGTCACCATCGCCATATATTCTGCCTTATCTTGCTGGAATCTCCACATCATCTCCATCGTCGCAACCAACATGTCCAAAGTTCTATTGAACAAGCACCATCAGCACCCTATGAACATCGTCATCATCGTCCTTATCATCATCACTCTATCAGCTCTCGTTGTCACTGGTGTCATCATCATCACGCAGCATTCCGAGGCTTTCGCCTAGAGACAGCCGCGACATGGCGAGTACCCACCTGGCGATTCGTCACGAAAGTTGTTCAAGACAGAGGTCGGGTTTTGGCTTCGCGGATTAGGTTGCTGCGGTTTGGGAGCTTCGTATTAACAACGTCTGGGCGGTGCCTGATAATTCCTTCGCCGGGGTGTGGAAACTGCGCCACTTAGACTTGAAAGTAAGCTGAAAAGACTATGCTGACGCTGAATACTGCCAGGTCAATAGCTTGGTCATCAGTGTCAACCTTAACCATTTATGAATCACATGCCCCGAACATCTCCAAGCCACCAAGATTCCTAGGTTCAGAGTAGAAGACTTGGACACACTTTCGGTTTTGGCGGACTTGAGCAGGGAGCATTGAAAGGTTGCGGAGGAAAGCTTTTCGCAAGGGGTCATGATGTGGCGGATCCGAGGCGTGAGGCTAAAGCCAATCCTACAACCATCAGTTGTTGCTGAGCTTAGGATTTAGGGCTTCGGGACCCGCTTACGCTCTTGTCGATCACGAGACCTGAAACCGGCAGCCCTACAACCTTGAACCCCAAGGCCCCAAACATTGAAATCCTAATCGCCCTCATCTCTGCCCCCTAAGCCGGAAGCTCTGCATCCCAAGCCCATCACAAGCGCAAAGCCCGTCGGAGCCCTGAACCCTTGGCTGGGGCATGAGATGGTGTCTCTGACGGAACAGTAGTTTTCGCTACATAGTTGCCGACATGCTGCAGGCAAAGCATGCTCATGACGGGACCGTTCCAAGTAAATCCTGGCCGGTGCTGCCCGCTTGGTGCGGCTACCTTCTTCTTGGAGTGCTCCCACTCCGTGAACAACAGCGCCTGAGCAAACAAGGCAGCCTAGGGCTAGATTTTGAACTTTGAACTCGTCATTTCCTATGGCGAAGCCGCTCGGATTTTGCACCGTTTTTCTAGCTCCTGCCAGCACTACACCGATTGCACCGCACTGACAAAGAGGCGATTAGGGCGACTTTGCTTTTCCGCCCTTTCTGCCTGCATGTGGGTTTAGGGTCTGCGGAAGCCTACAGGAGGCGAGCTGATTCGCCTCCCTGAAACACCTCCACTTTGCAGGGAGGAAAAGGGCGAACGCAACCGAACACATTGCGGTTTTGGCTTTAGGGTTCACTGATCAACTCCTTCCTCAGCATCTTCATCAAGAGCAAAATTATCCTTGACGACGAAATGGTGTTCTGACGTCTTGCATTCATCAGAAATGGTTTTGTCTTGCTTTTGCCTTCTCAGTCCCGACCAGAATAAACCTCTCTCATCTTGCTGCTCTCAATAATTGTCTCTTCCTCAATGATGATAGCAGTAACTATAGTATTAGGTTTGAATTAGGGGTTAAGCCCTCAGCCCTGATGGGATTCGCGAACACTGAGGCTCCTGTCAGCGGAATTCTCTCAAAACAAAAATTCAGCATGCTTTGTTGGCTCGGACCCAAAGCCAGTATCAATGTGGTCGGGCCGTGGTCCTCAAAACAATCTCTTGGTCCTGCGAAGCGGCTGGGCCGTTGAAAAACAGAGCTCCACCTGCCTTCAGGTCTAGTCTAGTCACGTCTCTTGCTTCTGCGGGCTTATTGCCATAATTAAGAGTCGTGTGTTCACCTTGCCCCAGGAGGACCATGGGCTGTGGGCTCTCCTGTCCCCGTCGAACGATGCTCAGAATTTCGCAATTTTGGGGTTCGATAGGACCTCTGCAGCTACCGAGTTACTGACTCTGCAGTCTGGCAAAGTGAGTCCAAGCATACAGTTTAGGTGCCAAGGTGCCATGCCGAGCGCATGAAGGCCACTTCCGAGGAAGAACCCCACAATCTTCTCCGGCGAGTAGACCATGTTAGCAACTGCAGTGATGAAGCTGCATGGGCATTTAAGGCACGTCAGCCAAAGCTAGGAGGCTAGGCGCTTCTGGCGTTCGAACTGGGAGTCTCGGGTTTCGAGGTTCCTGATTCAGGCTTTCTGGGCTAATCAAACCCGATTGAGTCGGCTGCTGACTTCGCGAAGCCTACCTCTTCAATGCCCAGCTCCTAAAATCCTCAATCGCTGGGCCTTGAGCCCTACAACCCCAAAACCCATATCCTTCCAGTCCTCAACCCTGAACTTCTAAACTCGTCATAGTGGGGCTGCGTGGTTCAGGGGCGGCCCTTCTCTCCAAAGAAACTGCCAAGAACAGGACCCTGTAACCTGAAGGCCGAACTACCAACCCTTAACCCCAAACCCAATACCTTTAACCCTAAACCCTAAACTCTAAACCCTAAACTCTAAACCCTAAAGCCTCGACCCTGAACCTTAAAATCTTAAAAGCCCCGGAGTTTTTGAAACGCCAAGGAGCCTTCCGTGGGCTGAGCATCCTGGAGAACCTGTGCCGGATGCACACTTGGGAGAGTTTGGGGATGAACATCTACGGGTTGGGAAGAGTTACCAAGAGTGCCCCCGTTGTTGGTCCCGGCTATCACTGTTATATAATTTATGCCCCCAAAGCCCGGTCGTAATCATTAAGGCCCCGATATGTTAATTGCTTACGTTTCAGGTTTGGCAGACAAGAAGGCCCTGATTTCGTCCGCCACACAATTTCGGGCGGAACCAGAGATCACGACTCTCTCTTGCATTTTTGGAGTCTTAGTCAGGGCCGTGTCAAAGGGGGGGGGAGAGCTCCTTTGAAGCCTGCTACAGCATAGCGCCCACAGCAGGTGGCCGTGTCAGAGGGGTTGAGGACCGTGTCAGGTCTGGTCAGGGTCAGGGGTGTTGTCTGGCCCATCCTCTCAAACACCACCCTGGTGGTAGCCTTGTGTTTCTAGCTTGTCCCAGGCCTGGATGAAGTCTCGAGCGGGCTTCTAATTTCGGACATCAGGGGCCGGGGCACGCCGGGAGAAAGGAATACGCAAATGCTGATGAAATTGCTAGCGACCATTATCCGTGTTCTCTATCATCTACGCATGGCCAAACTCGGACAAACTCGGAGACATAAACCATCCTCGATCACAGGGTCCTCGAACATCCTGAAAATTCTGGACTTCCGACACCGCTTTCAGCAGCGGGACTACAAACATGGAGATGTCCACAAGGCTTCAGGGCCAAAGGGCGGAACCAGGTGCAAACATATCCGGAGTCCAAAGAAGATCAAAACCTGAAGCCGCCGCAGCTCCAACTCTATTTTTTTCGCGCGGCTCGCCTCTGTCCTGGGTAACCTTGGCGGCAAAACGAGACCCGGAATCATGGCAGAAAGCGTTCCAGGGTGCGGGACTTTTCGGACCTGTTGGGGTTTCGGTTTCAGGGCATGGGAGTCTTCCGTGTCAAGGGGGACCCATGGACTGACGTTGGGGCTGTGGGGCTCAGCTCAAGCTATTCTGAACCGGACGTAAGCATCTCTTTGCACTGCGCACCGCCTCCCAGCCTGAAATTCCATAAGTTCCCGGACAGGAGGTTCAAGCCTCACAAAGCTGAAGACGCTCTGACACCCCCGGCTCATCCCACAACTGCAACAGCAACGAAGCGAAACCAAGGCAGTCGGTCAAGCCGAGCAGCTTCAGCCAGTCCACCTTGGTTCAATTGAATTGGGTTTGGGGTGCGGGGTGTAGGGCTTGGGGGTCAGAAGCGACTATAAACAGAAAAACGTTTACTTTTGATGCAATAGGCATTGAATATGAACCCCAAGAAAATTGAAACCCGATGCGGAAGAAAGCGATGAACATGATGAAGAGCCAGGACGCATAAGATGGTGAGCATGCTGAGGAAGATGAGTTTCGCAAATACATGAAACTTGCAACATGCGGCCGGTGCCGATGAAGACCGACATAAGGATGAAAACGACTTGAGCAGATAGCCAGTGAAAGCGATGTTCGCAGAAACCACAGGCATGGTCAAGATGACGAAGATAGCGACGATGACAAACGGAGCAAAGATGACGACAGTTATGAAGATGGCGATGGCTGCGGCAGTGGTGGTGTTGTCGGTGTTGGCGATGATGATGATGATAATGATGATGATGAACTCTCTACTTAATCATGACGTCAACCCCAAGCCCCAAATCTCAAGCCAACACCCCTCAACCTCAGCCCACAGCTCACTCACTCGCTGTGCGGATGTCCGGCGCGAAGCAGGGTCCATGCAAGCCTGAAAAGTGGCGAGCTATACGCCACAGGCCAAAGTGAAACGAAAAGTGACACCCCCGTGCGAGCAATCAGCCCAGCGGACGGGTGTGGTACACAAATGACGAACGAAGTGACAACACTCGCGGTGAGGCGGCAGGTGAAGAGGAGAACAACTTGCTGAGCTCTTGACGCAAAACGAGCGAAGAGGAAGCGTGTTCCATAACAAACACCCTGACACCGCCGACGAACAGTGAATACAGGGAAGCAGACGGAAGGACTGCCCTAAGAAGGGACAGACCCACCGCGCTCGGTACCCCAGAAATCCAAGCAGCTCCATTTGACTGCAGGGCAGCACAGACAGAGCGGAAGGCAACCGTGGCAGCAAGAAAGTCCAAGAGCCCAGAGGGCGGCTGCCGCTCATCCTGCTGCGCACAAACGGAGGGCACCGAGAGTCGGCGGAGGAGCGCAGACGCACTAAAGGCAGCAGAGGACCAGGGGTGGGCAAACTGCATGGCGTGCCACAGCTTCCAATATCGGTGCCACGAGCAGGGGAACTGACAGACAAAGGCCCCAGCCAACAGTCCCGACCAAAGGGGAGACGGTGTGTGCCAATCCTGAGGCGAGACATCGGAAAGGTCAACCAGGGAAAACCATCGACAGACCCGTGACGGATTGTGGGCAGCAACAGGCTCACCAGGAGACCGCCCCAAGGGTGCCACGCCTTCAAAAGGACAACGTGGAGAGGAGACAACAGCGGCACGGCTGTGTGGACCAACCAACGAGCCCGGCCAGCTGAAGACATCGCGAGTGCCAACAGCTTGGAAAAGCTCTTCGGAGAGTTCCTCCGCGGTGCAGGGCCGACCCTCAGCGGCAGCACGACGCTGAGCAGCAGTCGCGTTAATCGGCCCCGGAAGACGAAGAGGCGGCAGCCCCCTGTGCTGCCGTGCGCCAGTACGCTTGGTACCGGTACCATACTCATAAACTGGCCCGGTGACAACGCGGAGCCCATGCACACATTCACGACAGCGACTGAGATGATATTTTAATCTATCAGTGGAATGGTGCTCAGAGTGGCACCATAAGCACACCGTGCCCAGGGTGTATTTCGTCAAAACATTCACCACAGAGTGTTTACGATGCAGGTGTGCGGCAAGGGCATGTTTGCTAGGGCACACCAAGTTGCAGAGAGCGCATTGCATAGCTTGGGCGTCCCCGACAATGTTGCGCTGGCGCGGAGTAACAACATCCTGCCATAAATCCCATGTCGCTCTGAACAGAGACCCCCATCGGCTAAGGCGACGACAGACTTTCAACAGCCGGGGGGCTTGCTGGCGCGCGAACAGAAGGGAGGTGGAGCGCAGGCCATCAAGGCCGGGGATCGCGACCGCAACAGCTCGCAAACTGTCAGCTAGGAGCTCGCACCACGGTGTTGATCGGTTCCATGCCGCCTCAAACAAGGAAAGGAGGTCAGCGGGGGCTTTGGTAACAATTTGGACAACCAGACGGGCACGAGCAAGGACAGCAGCATGAAGAGGAGTGGTCAGCCCAATGACAGCACCAAGAAGTGGCCCAGTAAGGACATGGCCGAATTGCCATGAGCCGACAATGGTCCTGGCGGCGCGCTCGTAGAATCCTGTAAGTGGACTCCAGGCCCGAGCCGAAACAGCAAGTGAAGTAGCCAGGGTAGCGTATGCAGCGGGGAGGACACGCCCGGACATCCAAGCCAGTTTGAGGGCCCAGGGAAGGTGAGGACTGGCAAGGAGATTTCTCCCATGGGCCCATGCCCCGCAAGCACGCTGGGCACACAACTCGACATCCCGACGCCCAGTATCTCGGGTAGTCTGAACGACTCCGAGATAGCGGTATTCCGGAGTGAGGCGCAAAGAAATACCCGGTCCCAGAGGGAGAGAAGAAGTGCCAGATAGTAACTCCCCGCGGACGTACTTAGCCTGAGTCCCGCGAATGTCCAGAATGGCCTCAGTCTTCCCGGCACCCAGGTTAACCCGGAACTTCAAGGCTTGAAGTGTGGAGATGACAATCTCCACAACACGAGGGAAACGAGCTTGGAGTTCGCGGGGCTGCGCGTAATCGGTCAGGACAGCGAGGTCGTCAGCCCATCCTAACTGGAGCAAGGCATTCGAGCACCCGATGACATCTCCAGTACCCTGATGATCTACCTGTTCCCGCGAGCAGGCACGTCGAATGTGCTGAAGGGCTATCGAAAACAAGGCACCAAATATGACATCAGCGAGACCATCGCCGGGTCGCGAGCCCCGCGTAGCTGCATAAATGCGCTCAGAAGAGACGAGTCTCCAGTGCGAGAAGGCAACACAGTCTTGAAGCAGTTGGCGCTCCTCCTCAGGCACCCCGAGCAGTTCCAGAGCCCCTGAGGTCAGGAGATCCTGAGCAAGCGGGGCCAGATGCGTAACATCCAAACCTTCCTGAACATCACCCAAGTGGTCCCTCGGAACACCAAGCTTCGGCTAGCCTCATAGTAGGCAGCCTGCACATCTACGAAAAGCGTCGCAACGCTTCTGCCAGCAAAATGACTGAGTTCGACAGCACAGCGATAGGCAGCTCCAGCGAATCCAACTGGGATTCCTCGCCGACCCCCAAGCTGCAGGGGGTCATACCCTGCGAGAACATGTTGACCTAAAGTCGATCGCAAGTGGCTGTGCCACACCTTCGCCATCCCATTCATGAGTGCAATTGATCTGTAGTTCTGCGGTAGCGCCGCAGGACCCT